AGCCAGTGCATGGTGGCGTGGCAGGGCTGGGGACACGGGGACACAGGGGAAGCCAGCGAGGCTCTTCCCCCATCCGACATACCATCGGGATGGCTCGGAAAATCCCTGGGGACACGTCAGAGCGCCACACGCCATGGCACCCCTGCCGCCAGACAGCCCCAATGCCACGGCCACCATCCCCCCCACCGCGCTGGGCCACCGTCACCGTCCTGCCATCCGTCCCCGTGGGGCAGCGGGGACTGGAGTAGGGCTGGGTAATTAGCAGCCAGGCAAAGATTTAATTGATTATCAATTCCGTGAGAGCAGGGAGCGGGTTCGATCGAACCGTCGCCCTTCTGCCGCCGCGTCCCCTGCGGGGAGCCAGGGGGGTGACATTGCGCGGGGCTGGGGGTCACGGTGCCAGGACGCCGGGCAGCGCCAGTGGGGAGACTCGTCCCCGTCCCCTCTGCAGTGTCACCAGCCTCGGGTGAGACCCAGCACTGTCCCCATCCCGGTCCCCTCTGCGGTGTCACAGCCTCCGGGGACATCTGACCCCGACCCTGCTGTGTCCACAGCCTCCGGGTAGGACCTGACTCCAGTGGGACCTGACTCCGGTGTCACAGCCCCTGGGGGACAACTGACCCCATCCCCACGGTCTCATGGACCCCAGGGACACCCAAATCTGTCCCCACAGTGTCACAGCCCCAGGGACACCCAAATCTGTCCCCACAGTGTCACAGCCCCAGGGACGCCCAACTCTGTCCCCACGGTGTCATGGACCCCCGGGACATCCAACAATGTCCCCACGGTGTCACAGCTCCTGGGGACAACTGACCCCATCCCCACGGTGCCACAATCCCCAGGGACAACTGACTCCGTCCCCATGGCGTCATGTACTCAAAGAACACCCAACCCCGTCCTCACGGTGTCACAGCCCCCGGGGACACCCAACCCGGTGTCACAGCTCCTGGGGACAACTGACCCCATCCCCACGGTGCCACAATCCCCAGGGACAACTGACTCCGTCCCCATGGCGTCATGTACTCAAAGAACACCCAACCCCGTCCTCACGGTGTCACAGCCCCCGGGGACACCCAACCCCCCCGTCCTCACGGTGTCACAGCCCCCGGGGCCCCCCAACCCCCCCCCCGCCCGCCGCTCCACACGCA